TTTTTATGAAAAAATTAATCATAAAATATATTGATTTATGTGTAATTTTAAAATCAAAAGTACTAATCATAAAATGACATGATTATACATCCACACTAGTGTTTTGAAACTTGGATCGGATCGGTCAGTTTGATCGGTTCGACCAAGACCCGGTGGGAGAAACGGGCTAGGTGGACACCCAGGGCTGTTTTGACGATCCAACCGGTGAAACACAGAAAATTCATGCGACTCGTCCAGCACGACAAACCAGGTAAACTCACCGGGCTAATTCCTCCTTGCTCCTGCAATGCAACTTTTCCCCTTTTTTTTTCTCCCACTGCTGGTCTCACTCTCTCATTCTCAATCTCAACTCAAACTCTCAAAATCTCAACTTTTCAATTCAACTCTCAAATCTCACCACAAAACAAAATTGAAAAATCCATTCTCCAGTCCTCATCATCCATCGGTTCTCCATTCTACTTCTCCACTCTTTAGTTCGGCGAAGAAGAAACCACAGGGAGCAGCAGATCGGCATCTGGCAGCAGCATCCGGCATCGGCAACAGCATCTGGCATCGGACAGCAGCGTCTGGCATCCGACAATAACAGATCGACATCCGGCAACAGCAGATCGGCATCCAGCAAGCAGCAGCAGATCTTTTTTGGAAAGAATTTCCCTTCCTCCTCCACCATGTCTTCGTTCACCGGCCTTCACCCAACTGTCTTCATCCACTACCATTGACCTTCACCGGCCATCCGAGGGGTGTTGCCCAAATACTGTTTCCATTCCTCCTCTATATTTAATCACGCCTCTGTTCCTTCTATCTGTCAGTAAGCTTATTGGTTTTAAATTTTTCAGCAATTTGTTGCATAATTTTCAGAAATCCTCATCTTTTCTGGTTGGGTAATGCTCTTGGAATCTCAATTTGTTGCAGAATTTTCAATTTGTTGCAGAATTTTCAATTTATTGTAGATTTTCTAGTTGTGTAATGCTCCTGGAATCTTAATTTGTTGCAGAATTTTCAATTTGTTGCTTCGCAATTTGCTTCAGGACTTGTTTTCAATTTGTTGCAAAATTTTCAGCAATTTGTTATAAATTTTCATTTTTTCAAAGTTTGTAGTGTACCTGTGGGAATTACTTGAGATAACAGAGGATTTGTTTCATTATTTAATCGATGTTACTGGTATAGTATGGTCTCAAAACATTGTGTATTTTTATCAAGTTGTGTCATTGATCAAAATCATCAAAATTAAAAATATTTAGTAAATTTTAAATATTTTGATTTTTTTATTTGTTGTAAAATTATAAAAATATCATCTTTTGAATAAAATTCAATTGTTGCATCTTCTCAACCTTCAAGAGTTAAAATAGATGCACAATATGTGTGTGAGACTTGTTAATTTTGATATTTGTAAATGTATAACACTTTTTGTTATCTATTTATTGAGTTTTTAAACTTGTAGTTTCTACAAATTGCAAGAAAAAATGGTAAAAACAATAGCAAGATTCAGCCGAAAAAGTCAGAAGTGCAGTTTCTGGCACTTTTGCTTTGACCCGGCTGGTCGACTGGTTGAACTGGTCAGATCAATCAAATTGGGAACTGATGAGCAAATCGATTTTATCATCGGTCCGATTTTTAAAACCATGATTCACACACTTGCTCTCTTTTTTGTTGTTCTAACCTCTAAACTTTACATAAATTAACATAATAATTTTATATAATAAATAAATAAAAATTAAAATTTTTTATTTAAATAAAAATAATCAATAAAAATTATATATATAAAAAATTTAATTATCATCTACTTATTATATAAAATTATTTGATTAAATTTAAGCAATTAAATTTAATAAGAGAAAGTATTATTTTTTTATTAAATATTTATATAATTGAAAAGTAATCCCTTTTATAATGTTCAAACAGCTCTTAATATTAAAGAGGTTACATGCATTTAAAAATTAATTTAATATAATTTAAATTATTTTAAATATGTTCTAATAAAAAATATTTATTAACCAAATTTCCCATAAAAAAAAGTTTAAAAAAAAAAACACAAAAATTACGTCCGTTTATAAAAATTTGTACTGGGAATCATAATCAAGAAAAATCCAAAGACATTGGTTTGAACGGAGCAAATCTATTGATATATGTGGTACAAATTTATTGTTCACGACTTAACATGGGACTTGTCAGTCAATAGTAAGACAAAACCTGCAGGGAATCAATTATTGTTAGCTTCGATAACGTGCACTGACAAATGGCCTTTTTGTCTTTGAATGTCAGTCACTTGTGATGCAATGGAATTCAATTCAGTTGTTTCTTCGGGCCAGCCCAACCTCCAAAGAAACAGGAATCCCCCCGTCGTACAGGTTCGGCTCTGTCCGTTTGAGTTAAATACTTAAAGTTAGTCTGGTACCATTGGGATTTGGGTTGGAATGATCTTGGCCCAGAACTTTGGCACCAGGAAGGAGCTGTAGCATGTACGTATCCAGTTAATAAGGGCAAAGTTTGAGGGCGAGGAGGTTATTATTATTATTAAATTTGTTAAGATTATTAATTTAATTATAATTTTATTAGTTTACATAGTTAATTATAATATTTAAAAATATTTATTTAAAAATTAATTTTAATTTGTTAAATAATAATATAAATTATTTTATTAATTATAATTAATTTTTTAATAATTAAATTAAAATAAAAATTTGACAATTTTTAATAGTTTTAACAAATTCTGCAATGGCCATAACAATAGCTAAATTGTATGCATAATCAATTAGTAAAATATAAAACAATTGGATTTTTTAATTTTTTGTTAAACAGTACAATATTTTTGAATTAGTTTAGGTTTGTATTTTAAAATTAATTTTTCTCAATGCAATATATATATATTTACACACTCATCAACTCTTTAATTAGTGCTTGAAAATTTTAAAATTAGACATCTTAAATCATATCTTGAGATTGCCGATCAAAAAAAAAAAAAAAATCATATCCTGAGACCACAAGAAAGGAAAAGTTTGGAAAAGGTGACACTCATGTTTACTAAAGAAAGAAGTTTTTTTCGTTTGGAAGAGCTATACCAGCCTTCGAACACAAAAACCATAAGTTAGGCATATATTAAATAAGACAATAAATGTCCAAGCAACAAGATGATATGACGGTTAGGGAATATCATATTACTTCCCGGCATCGAAATTAAATGCACAATATATAATGGAGACAGAATAGCTATAAATTTTTTGTTCCTTTTATTTCCTACAGACACAGTAATACTACATCTTACTGTCTAGTACCTTTATTTCTTCGTATTCGGATTTTTATTATGATTAATTTTACAATCGGTGATAACTGTAAATTGTGTCATTTATTGGTATTTAATAAATCTTTAAATCAATAATACTAGAGGCAAATTTGATACGAAAGAAAGAAATGAGGTTTGAAAAGAAATGAAAGAGAGGAAAATAATATCTTTTTTTAGTAACCGGCCACCGCACAGTCTTGTTGGTTGAGCATTTATTATCTTATTGAACATATGCCTAATTTATGGTTCTGCGTTCTAAGGCTGGTATAGCTCTTCCAAACGAAAAAAACTTCTTTTCTTTAGTAAACACGAGTGTCACCTTTTCCTAACTTTTCCTTTCTTGTGATCTCAAGATATGATTTTTTTTTTCTTTTTTAATTTTTGATCGGCAATCTCAAGATATGATTTAAGATATCTAATTTAAAAGTTTCAAATTCTAATTAAAGAGTTGATGTGTGTATATATATGTATATTGACTAAGAGATAATGGTGTTTTTAAGGTAGCTTAAGTGTATACTAAAATTAATCCCTACACAATCTGGTCGAAGGTAGGCTGTCATATTTGGATTAAAGATTTCACGAGAAATTATTTCCTTGTTTGTCTCTTTAAGGAATTGAAGTTTTGTCAATAGAGTGAAAAATAAATTTCCTTATCAACTAAGTTACAACTTGGATAAAGGTTGATATTCAAACAAATGTGGAATCGAACTTTGGTCAATAGAGTGAAGAACAAATTTCCTTATCAACTAAGCTACAACTTGGATAAATGTTGATATTCAAACAAATGTGGAAGGCTATTTTGCAATTACAGTCTAGCAATGGTGTGCCTAATGTTCTAAACGTTGAAAATTTTTGTTGGGTGGTAAATTCTGGTGATTTTGTTAAGTTTTGGTTGGAAATGTGGATCACTAATTCTCCTTAAAGAGGATCAAATCATTAAATGATTGATCTTATTATAAAAAGAAGAAAAAGAAGGATTAAATCATAGAAGGAAGGAATATCCTACCATTATAAAGATTGATCAACCAAGGAGAAATCAATTTACCAATTCATTGGTTTCAAGGATTTGATATTAATTGTATTCTCATTCATAATAGATTTTCAATTAATTGTTATTTCGTTATATTATGCATCTCTCATCATATAAATATAATTGATCATATGTAAAAAAAAAAAAAAACAGTAAAAATAAATAAATGTGTAAAGCCCATAGAGGCTTTTGTACCGTCGATTAAGGGAATCTTGATATTTCATGATATCTTGGTATTATCTTAAATCACATAATATCATGTTTTCTTGTCTCTCTTATCTTTTATTTTATTTATGTTATTGCTATATATCATGAGATTTCTACTATTAGAGATTTTCTCACTTTATTAGAAATATCATGGTATCAAAGCAAATCAATTTGGGACTTTACTCAGCTTTTCACATGAAAGTTGAATAAAGTTTATTTTTGTTTTTTTTTTTGTCATCTTTTTTCCCACCCATTTTATCTTCCAGTCTTTTTTGAAAAAAAAAAAATAAATAGAAAGAGAGAGAGATAGAGAAAGAGAGAGAGAGAGAGAAATGAAAAAAAAAAAACCAAAAAGAAAAAAGAATATTCTTTTTATCTTTTTTCAAAAGCCTACAAATAGAAAAGACCATTTGGCTATCTTCTTCAAAAAAAGAAAAAAAGAAAAGAAAAGAAATAAAAAAAGAGATCCATAGAAAAATTATTTTAAGAGAGCTAATTTGCTTAATTTTCCCAATATATATCATCATTATTCATCTCGTTCTAATTCAATACAAATTTGAAGTGTTTAAGAGACATTTTGGTTAAGAACTTGAGTTTTTATATTGGAATTCTTAAGTTTTAATTTTAGAATGGGTGAGGAAAGATTTGGAGAGAGGAAGGCTATTTCTTGTTTTTTATATTGGATATCTCAATTTTAATTTTGGAATGGATGGGAAAGGGTTTGGAAAGAGAAGGGCTATTCCCCATTGTATAATTCACCTATTGTATAGTCTACTATTCAAAGTGTATATATATATACACACACATAAAAATTTGAAGTGCATCCTTAATCATCTCACTCCACTATCCATAACATTAAATACAACAAAAGGCACTAATTAAGCTACATGAACTCTCTCCAGCAAAGGCTTCTATTAACTAGTATTACATTAGCTAAGGAGTTAAACGGTTTAGTGGTATAGTCTCTATTTTGAGTGAAATAAGAAATTTTAGATTTGAGTTATAAGTACGCATATGTGGTGGAATGGAATAAAAAAAAGGTTACCTTCTATTGTACATTAAAAAAAAAAAAAGCATTTACTTAAAGTTGAAGTTAACAAAGAAGTCAATTTTCCATAATGAATAGTGGAGTCATCCACTAATGGATGAAATTCATTTCAATAAAATCTTTGTTGCACAAAGGGAATGATCAGAGTGCCTTTTTTTAGTAGAGGAAATTGAAGAAAGGGAGTGATTGGAGTGCCCTTTTTCAATAGAAGAAATTGAAGAGGGACTTAGTAGCTGTGATAGGGTAAAAGCACCAGAACCGGATGGATATAATTTTAATTTTATAAAATTTGCTTGGAGCACATTGAAGGGGGATTTTGTGAATTTTTTGTCAGAATTTCATCAATAGTGAAGATTAGTAAAGAGCTCAAATTCCTCTTTTTTAGCTTTAATACCTAAAAATGTAAATCTTGTGCAGCTTAAGGAGTATAGGCTTATTAGTTTGATTGGTTATTTGTATAAATTATTGGCTAAAGTGTTGGCGAATCAATTGAAAACAGTAATGGCAGATATTATTAATGATTTACAATCAGC